ATTATCAATATATGATCTGAAGCAAGAAACACATTTCCTGTGGCATATCATCTTATGGTCTTGCCACTATATTGTACTAGAGTAAAAGTGGTTACATGTCTCCAACTTGCTATGTACGGTATCTAGGACATTGTTGTCAACTGTTTGGACTTGCGAGAGATTCCATGACTACATAATGAAAAAAGTTATGCACATTAAAAGAGACCACAAAATGCTGACACAAATTTTCATGTCGAAGGCTTTGGACAATCTTATTCCAGACTGCAGAAAATGAAACTACAAATGATGTGTTATCCTGTAGCTCCATACCCAAACAGGGGAATGAAGAACTGACTGAAGAGAGTGAGGCTTATGTTCAAAATATTATTGAAATCTTTCCTACATCCAATAAATGGTTAGCAGAAATCATGTATTTACAATAGAAAAATCCAATTTGCAAAAGTACTGATGAAAAACTGTAAAAAAAGATGGTTAAAGAAAAATAAAATACTTGAAATAATATCTGTATTATCTCGAGTATTATTCAATTACTCTCCAAAATAGAATTTTATTTAAAGATGCCAGGATTATCATTCCAGAAAAGCTTAAACATGTTATATGAAGGCCTTCTTGGATAACAAAGTGTTGAGTCTGAGCTCGAGAGTGGCTAGGCTTATTGGCAAATATTGATTTTGAGATGGCCAATATGCATTCAATACCAAAAATATCATAAAGAATCTCTTATCCCAAGCAAATTCCATGAGAGACCTTGGGAAGTTGTAGGGGTAGATCTTCTAAAACTAAAAAGCCATTTGTATCTCATAATGGTTAACTACTTTTCAAGATATTTTGAGATTGCCAGATTGAAAACATTATTGTCATCATCAGTAATGGACCACATGAAATCAATTTTTGCAAGACATGGAATCCCAGAAATTGTACAAAGTGACAATGGCACCCAATTTTCCCAAATTGTTGATTAAGAATACCATAAATTTGCAGAAAAATATAAATTTTCAATTACAGATTCTAATCCAAAATATCCTCAAAGCAATGGGTTCACTGAATCTATGGTCAAAATATTTTAAAAGTCATTACTTGAAATCTGAGTTGCAGGATCATTATTTAATGCTGCCAACAATGAGATCAACACCATAAGAAAATGGCCATAGTCTGGTAGAATTGTTAATGAGTCAAAGATTGAGAACACTCCTGTCATCAAACAATCAACAATTGACACCTTGTTTGATTGATTTTGCCTCAGTAAAAAAAGGAAGGTAGGTAAACAGAAAACCTATTTTGATCAATGCAATAATGCAAAAAGTCTTTCATGTTTTGTGGTAGAACAACTTGTCTGGATGTCAGATATGCAAACACACAGAAAGGTGATGGAGGCTCACCATAGTACACAATCTTACATCATTGAAACCCTGAGTGGCAGGTTCTGCAGGAACTGAATATATTTGCACCCATCATCTATTCCCCAGACATTCTCCCAGGAAGATGAACTGCATGTCAATGAGGAGAAATCAACTGGACCATCCAATCAGAATACTCCTAAGGAAGAACCTACCAGGATGGAAAACAGGAAAAGGTCCAGGAATAAGGAACTTTTTTTAACAAACATCAGAAACCATCAAAAAACCTCAACCAGGTGAAAAGGACCTTCCCAAAACCCATAGGAAAAAGTACTTGAAAGGGCACGTCAAAAGATACAGCCATGTTGTAAGCTCCAGAAAGCCAGGAGATGAGTTACTCCATTCGTGTTCAATAAAGATATACTTGTATTACTAGGTCAGTCTAGTCATTAAAATAATCAAATTTCTAGATAATAAGACAAGGATCTTTAATGTAAACCTAATGAAAGAGTAGACAAAGGCTTGTCATCAAAAGACAAAAGTTTTCTGGTTCAACTTATTACTCCTATAGAAACTGCACTTGTACAACTACCAACCCTACAACCATCTAATGCATCTTAATCTTCAGGAAATTTTGCAGAATTTCCTGAAGATTAAGATGCATTAGATGGTTGTAGGGTTGGTAGTTGTACAAGTGCAGTTTCTATAGGAGTAATAAGTTGAACCAGAAAACTTTTGTCTTTTGATGACAAGCCTTTGTCTACTCTTTCATTAGGTTTACATTAAAGATCCTTGTCTTATTATCTAGAAATTTGATTATTTTAATGACTAGACTGACCTAGTAATACAAGTATATCTTTATTGAACACGAATGGAGTAACTCATCTCCTGGCTTTCTGGAGCTTACAACATGGCTGTATCTTTTCACGTTGAAGAAGGTTGTTTTAGATAATTGAAAATGTTTGAAGAAAAATTTTCACTACATTAGATGGTTGTATAGTTGATAACTATCAACTATACAACCATCCCAGACTAAAAGCACATTAAAACTGGAAGACTATATTTCAAATGATGTCAACTGATATCCTTTAACCTGAATTGTTTTGAATGGAATTTTTGGCCTATAAAATAACAAATAAACATTTCATATTAATTTATTTTATTTAATGTTAATATATTTCATTTAACATTAAATGATATGAAATACTCATTCAAAATACTTTGTATTAAATGATATCAATTGACAATACTTCAAATAATAATGAATGACATAGTTTTAACAACCACTGACATCATTTCAATTGTCTCAATTCAGATCATTGCTTCTGATTATGTTATTTCAAATATCAATTGATATTTTTACAGGGACAAAGAATATATAGCAGTACTTTCAGTAATAATTTTCATTATTATTCTTAACTAGAGTATGTACACAAAAGATTCAAAAAGTTTCAGTACTAATACTACTAAAAACACAATTTTTCATATAAATAAAAATTTATTGTTTATTATTCAACATATATCCCTTCTCTCAACACATTTAAGTACGCTCATACAAATGCTGGAAGGTGAATGTATAGTTCTTCTGTGGAATTGAGTTCAAGATGGCCATCACAATCTACTGAATGATGTCTACATCTTCAAATGGTCTCCTATTAGTGCTGTTTTCAATTTGGGAAAGATGAGTAAGTGGATGGTTCATCACTGTGACCAATTTCTACTGAGAAATTGCAAAACAATGAGCAACAAATGTGCCAGAGTATTGTCATGGATATATAATCGTGATGATATATATATATGACGACCATTATACAGTAGAGCGTCGATTTTCCGAAAGTCATTCATCCGAAACGTCAATCATCCGAAAGAATTCCAGTCGGCAAATTTAAATTTTCGCCAGTGCTGTGGCGCTTCAATCTTTGGCTATGTCTTGGGCNCTTTTCAGCTCTCTGACAGAGCTAGGACTTGCAAGCTTTGCTATTGCTTCTGTTTTCTTGGGATCAGGTTTTGTCCATTCACTTGAGATTACATATCTGAGAAACTTGACTTCTTTCTTTCTGAACTGACAGTTTTTGGCATTGAGTCCATCCCACAGACTAGAGTTTGCTAAAAACTTTAAGCAGATGTTTGTCATGTTCTTCTTCTGTGGCCCCAAATATCACGAATTCATCCATTAGTCCTACAATTCCAGGGCCCTCTGGTATTTTCGGTTATCCGACCAACCCCAGTCCCCAATTGATTCGGAAAATCGACACTCTACTGTATATTATTATTATATAATGGACATATATAATTATATATTATTATATAATGGACATATATAATTATATATTATTATATAATGGTCATATATAATTAACTCTCGTAAACCTTAAAAGTATTGACACCTTTAATAGAAAAAGAAAAACAAACATTTTTGATCATACAAACTATGAAGAAACGAGCAACACTTACATCAGCAGTCAGTAACCACAACACCCCTCCCTCCTGTTTGTTTACATCATGTTACCCTATCATTCCATTGCCATGGTAACTCACGTACATATCTATTTTTCTACACATGCCTGGAGTATTCTATATGTTTAAATCAATCTCCATGCATGCTGTTCCATATTTTTAAAAATAATTCGTAATTTTGTTCTTTGCATTCACAAGTTCGATTCCCACTAGTTTTACAAACCTGAAGAAGACCAGAGTACGATTGAAAACGTTTGTTTTTCTATTAAAGGTTTGACACCTTTTAAGGACACTGGACTTTTAAGGTTTATGAGAGTTAATTGTTTGCATTCTAGTACTTGTGTAAGAAGCTATTTATTGTGCATCATGTATAATTGTGCATCATTTCTGTATCGTATTCCCATACTGATACAGAAATGTTAGGATAATGTTTTATACTCAGCATGGACTCATTTGATATTCTTATCAATCTTGCTTGTGGATGACACTACTCTGTTGGATCTTCTTCCAATGACTCAACTAATTTTAAAAAAAAACATACATTCAAACACCTTGGTATGACTTAAACAATCTTTTCTGTATGCAATTTGCACTATCAAAAATGTTTCTATAACATTTTTCCTACTTTTAAAACAAAATTCGATTGCAGCTCTTTGTTCCATCTTAAAAATTGCAACAATTAAAAAAAACACACAAATTTCAAACCATCACTGCTTATTCCCATTTAGTGAAATTAAATAAAGGTTAGGGAAAGGTTCATACTAATTAGTTTTAGCAGTGACATGAAGATGGTGCCATTATATGTCTGCAGCAACAGCAGTCCTGAAACTTTTTGAATGCAGTGAAAAAAATTAAGAGTATCAGTGCTTTCCCAATGTCAAAAAGTTTGTATAAAAAATACTTATAGAAAGTCTTGATATAATTAAAATTTATACCAAATTCACTAAGTTAATAAAAATGTATATAAGAAATATTTTAAATTTTTAAATAACACATTATTAAGTTATGCTTTGCTAATGCATCTGAATAAAAGTATCATTAAATTCACAATAAAACTTTAAATTCAGAAATGTTTACATTAATATAACTTAATAATAATTATAAGAATTCTTGTTTGTGTAGAAGAAAGCCAGCAATTGAATGGGAAAGGAATTAATTAGATAAGAGAAAGAAATATAGTGGAAAGCCTATAGTGATATGTGATACCTGTCCTTTCTCATCACAATATGTGACACTAGCAGCATTACAGATGGCAGTGCCGGTGGCTGTACTTGCCATGGCAGAAGAGTGCATCATAGGTACTAGGACGGGAAGTGGGTAGGGTAGGTAATGGTGCAGTGGAGAACACCATCACATGCAGTTAGTGCAGAGCAGTACAAGGGTTTGCAACAAGCAGTGTGATAGGTGCAGAAGTAGCAGTTGTGCCAAACAGGAGAAAGCCATGAAAGAAAGATAGGATACTGATATTAACTTTTTTTGTAATAAGAATGTAGATAATATTAGAAATTCAGTAAACATATAAAGGAATATTCTAAAGATTATATTTTAATATTGGTATTTAAATAAAAAAGTACATGAAAATATAAATTGACAAAATTAATTCTATTAATTATTTTAACTTATTGATTTTGTATTAAAAAATTACTTAATGTTAGTATGTTATTTTATATACTAATTTAGCATATTTATCGAATAGGCAAATTCTGTTCAAAATATTAATAAAATGATTTATATTTAGATCTAAAAACCTGTATAGGATGTTTAAAGTTATTTCAATTAAAATAATAAAGGTTTTTGAATAATATGTAATAAATAAATCTCACATAGAAATCAACATTTTTCTGGTTTGTATACGAAGTAATTTTAGATAATTCAACATTACTGGTTTAAAGTCTAATGTTATGGTTATAAAGTTTTTATAAATCAGTAAAACTGACTTATCTAAAACTAAATCTATTATTTTTCAAAATATCTATACCTGATTTACAATCATTTTATTAAATTAATACTTTATAAAAATGAATCACATTATGAAATTGTTATTTTAGGTGAAATTTTATCTGGCTATAGAGAAACACATCTAAAATAGAATACAATAGTTCAATATTAAATAAGCACTGGACTTATGTTCAGCTTTATATATCAAAATAAAATATAATGTCAAGTATGATTTTGTAAATATATTATTCAATAAATTTTTAAAATAGATTTACAGAAATTTGTGTGATATCATATCAACATTATTTGACACTATGGCTTTTAACTCAATATTGGTTTCAAACTGCTACATTCTATTTTAGCTGCATCCCTATATGTATGTATATATATATTTATTTGTTATTAATATTATTATGATTTTGGGACATTCCAAGTGTACATTTAAAAAAAATATATCAGTTTTTTAACTTGAAAACAATTAACTCAATTCTTTTCTTTATAAAATTTAATCTTTAAAAAATAT